GTATAATTTGACTTTGAACTCAACCCAACATCCACCAAGTATAAATATCCAGAAAAGCTAGTTGCTTGCCCACCCACCATGATGGCATTATATCAAAGAAAAATCTCAGAGATCTCAACTCAAATCAAAATTAAGTTGATAATATTCCTTTTCATTCTGCCACTTAAATACAGAGACTCTTGCTAGGCTTGTGATTGGGGACTGTACTGGCTGTAGGGAGTGTGAATTCTCCCTTCTCAACTCTGTAAAGTGTGCTATTCTGGTTTTTTGTGGTTAGTGGCCAAACGCGGTTTCAACCATACAGTGTGCCCATTATGCACAACTTGCAAATAAAAAACCAGAGTAATGAGTTGGCTTATCTTTGAAGTTGTTTTTGGTGTGCTGAAAAGATGAGCACAACAAGTAGAGTGTACAGAGAGTGGATTGAACATGGCAGAAAATGACATTGAATTGAAGATTGAGATTCTCTAAAGTCAAGCACGGCAGTCACAGCTTTGTCCTTTGGGGTCTTGTTGATAAGGAGGGTGTTGGGTTTTAGGATGAAAAGGTGAACAATAAAGTGATTTTATTTATTCCACAATAGATGGGTACAAGGCTTTATACAAGACTAGGCTTATTGGCCTTCAACAACTAGAAATTTTTACTAGGCTTATTGGCCTTTTTCACTCTTTGGTGGCTATTTGGCCTTTTCTCTCTCTTTCTTGCTTTTGTACAAAAGACATCATCTATTTATAGACTCAAGTTGCCGCCATTGTCCAAGTCGGTGGCTTGGCTTCTTCTCATAGCCACTACATTATAATATTATTACTTTATTACAAGATTTTTATTAAGAATTTTCTAGGAGCTTACAACAATTATTAAAGCTTAACTTTGGTAAACTTTTCTTGAGTTTTCTAATTTTTTCTAGATTTTTCTATATTCTTCAAGTGTGTATTAATTTTAACAGAGGGTAAGCATGCATGTTGCAAAATGTGCTGGTTTTTATTATATATATAATGCGTGCGGCTATACTCAGTTTTCCTCTATTTTTTTTTCAAAAATAGTATAGCCGTGAGGATATGCTCGTTTTAAAATTTTGTTTAAAAATTAGTACAGCCGCACGGCTTTACCTGTTTGACACGTAGCGCATGAGCGCTGGGTGGGTTTCTCTGTGTGTATAAATAGTATATACTATCGTTTTTTCCTAATTTTTTTAAAAACAGTATAGCCAACCGACTTTACGTTTGTGACACGTGGCACCTAGACGATGGGCGCGTCCTTTATATATATATATAAATAATATAGCCGTACGACTATACTGTTTAAAAGGAATATTAAAATCCGGGAAATTTCGCCGGCATAAACTTGTGCCGACAAAATGTCGTCGGGAGAGGTTTTAAAAATAAAATAAAAATTCTTTACGTTTTTTTTCTTCTCCTACTTATTTAATTTAATATGTGTAATTAAGTAATATCTTAGCTTTTTAAAATTAATTTAATTAGTAATTATATTTTAATTATTATTTAATATATAAAAATTAAAGAAAAAGTCTACAAAATAATTCATTTTTGTTTATTAAGTCTTTTTGTGAAATCCTTTGCGCATGTCTTAATTAAATTTCTCCACAGCCCAAGAGCCCTATTCATTACTATCAAGCCATTAATTGAGTCTCTATTTCCCACTTTTTATTTCTTACATTTCCAGATTTATTATCCATATAAAGATTTTAGCACTTTCACTTTTAATAATGTATTATACTCGTATGTACGTATTTCTCATGTTTAATAAACATGTTTTTTACAAAAAGTTCAATAAGACACACAAAATTCCCACATATTATTGAATAAAAATAATACATATTTTTTTCAAAGCGGTATTGCCGCACGGCTATACTAGTTTTTTCTTATTTTTTCTGAACTGTTTAATTATAGCCGCAAGGCTTTACCTTTAAATATTTTTGTTTTGCAATGTCTTCTAGATTTATTTTTCAGCGATTTTTCCTGTGCACCGAGCACTTGTCAAATTCCAAATGGCTTTGAGAGTTCACACGCGGTTTCCCAAACATGTGGTTTTGTTGAAACTTACGACGTTGGAACACGTGAAATTTGCCAAATTTAGAAATTTCCATAGACTTCTTCAAACTCCATGCATTATGTGTCACCCCACGATTGATGCACCATGGTCATTTGCCAGCTACCACCTCATATAATCTCGCATTCGTCACCATTATATATACAGAACACTTCACCAATCTCTTCTCACAAACCAAAAATCTCCAACTAAGATCGTTCATATTTGTGTTAATTACAATTAGCTGAGTAATTAGAGCAGTAATATTATTATCTGATTAGAGAGATAATGATGGTGAAGGAGGTAAGCTACATGCACAACTGGGGGGAAGTTGCACCAACTCTGCTCATAACTCACCAGAAATCTTCAAAGTGTCCAAAGCTGGAAACCATTGTTGAAGAAGGACCAGGAAATATTATTGGGTCTCAAATTAGCATTGAAGTTGCACCGATTTCGAAGAGGGCCTTGTTTCTTCTTCCTGTGTTTGTTTCTTTTGTTTCTTATTTCTTGTTGTACAGACAATAGGCCAATTATCAGATGTAGGCGAATTGGAAAGGATACTGTACATGAAATAGTTTGAAAGATCGAGGGTAGATTCGTCTCTAAAGATATATATATGAACAGTGTATATGCTCATGGTATTCTTATTGGAAAATCAATGGCAGGTTCTTCGAATGTCTATTGACCTTTTGCATAGTTATTTTAAGTTCAGAGTTTCACTGGTATTCATACGTTGAAAACTCTGGGCCTGTTTAACAATATACGTTTCTTTGTTTTTTTTTTAATACAAACGATTTTCTACTTTAATCTAATCTAAACTACGAGGAAGGGAATTCGAACTCGAATGCATAGTGGGAAGCATATCTGCTGGCAACTTGGCTAAGCCCGTGTCTTCTTTGTATTTGGTTGTTGGTTTTTTTGTTTTCTGAATTATAGGTGGTGGAGAAGGAAAATATAATTTATAAATGAGAATGGAGGTGAGAGATTTGAAAGGAATGGTTTTTGTTTTCATCAATCACCTGTTCTGGTTAATATGTGATGTTGCTCTAGTTACTAAATTCGAATTCATATCAAATCAAGCATTTTGTAAAAGCCTTGCTGAAATGAGAACTAGCTTCATCCTTTCCATCACAACTTCTTTTCTCTTTTCTTTTCATTTCTCCCCACCAAATCATAAGAACTTCGGGTAACCATGGAAATGGGAAATAGGAAAACCTCAGTTCTCCACAATTTTCTTCAACTTCAACCCCATTTAGGTTATAAAATGGTCATTTACAGATTCAACGTTAGGTTTCAAATATGAAAGCCTAAAATTTGTTACTTAAAATCAATCAAAGCGATTAACCAATTCAAGATTATAAATTTCGAGCGCGCTCTGAAACCATGCAATAAATGGGATCAAATTTGAAAAATATTGAGTGAAAATGTGTTCTCTCAACGCGTCATGTCTTAGAATAAATGTTCATCTAATATATCTGTTCTCTTTATTTATTCACCTAATTCCATATCCTTCTTGCGAGAATGGATTGTATTGTGTTGTGAATTGCATGTAATGAGCATGGAGCTTAATTTGTGTCTCGGGTTTATTTGTCCCTTCATATATATAATTTCCCATTTGTGGTGGACTTTGGCAAATTAGTCTAGCTATGGTTTATATGCCTAGAGGGATCGATCAAGGGAAATTTATAATTTGTTTTTAGCATAATTTTTTCAACATCTATGTACCAAGTCTATTGGTATAAGAACCTCACCACGGCCGTTCATGATCGGACACCAGAAATATTTTGAAGGATCATATAATTTCGTTATGCATGTAGAGAGAGAAGAGAAGAGAAGATATGGTACCTTGTGAAAAGCCAATTAATTATATCAATTAATGGCACTAGTACAAAAAGTTCATAGGCTACAAATTCCACCTCACATTGTAACATTGTTTTTAGGTTTTCTTCCTAACACACACATTGATTACCTTGAGGTAACAAATGACATGAGCCATTCAAATTCTCCACATGCCTCTCTCATGCACCATGTCAAGCCACATCTATGTACAACATGATGTACATAAACCCAGTGAGGAGCAAAGGAAGAACATACAAAGACATCCCCTTTTGCCCACCTTCAAAGCTGCTTTCTGACCCCTCTTCAATTATGGTCTCTAGTTTTGTCAAAACCCTAGAAGATTTTCTCGAAAGGGATGCAGGTGCAACCTCTCCCCAATTTTGCATGCTTTTGAAACTCTTCCCCATTATCTCTCCAAAAAGAATGCTTGTGAAGATCCTTGCTAGTTCCTTCTTCTTCTTGATTCTAGGAGGAGGAGGAGGATGCAAGAAAGGGGAAGGAACTAGCAATCCAATGGTGTAGGGGCCCTTTGCTTTTAACTACGAAAGCTATGGGCTAGAGGCATAAGTTTTATAGGGCTCAAAGATGATAGGGTCCGAAAAATAGGGTAAGGAGGAAAGGCATTGGAAAGCTTGGTTAGGAATGTACACCAATCAGTTATGCAAAGTAAACCCATATTTGAACATGTCTCAAAACTAAATTTTGCATGAAGGTTGTTTTTAGCTGAAAGGATGCAAAATCCTCATAAAAATAGGATAAAAATTTCATCTTACATGCTGCTTTATATATCCTACTCCTATTATATATATATATATATATATATATATATATAAATAGACATCAGCATAATTGTGCATGGATCAGATAAGATAAGACATTAAGAATTGAATTGAGTCCCAAGATAGTAAAAGAAAAAAAAAGAGAAAAAAAATCCAGACCTAAACCCAATCTCATCCTAGCTAGTGACTGGGACTGATTTAGGAGGCCGACAGCTCAGACTGACTGTGATTGAAATTTATCAAGCACAAAGATTGCTTTAGATTATTGAAAATAGAACCTACAGCTCAAACTGACTGTGATTGAAATTTATCAAGCACAAAGATTGCTTTAGATTATTGAAAATAGAAACCAAGCTCCATTCACCCCCATTTGAATACAAAGTTTCATCCAAACTAATTTTTCATCTTATAGTACAAGAATACAGAGAAAACCAGTCATCAATGACTGAACAAATTCTGTAGCATGTACAACATGTAACTAGCTCGAATGCTGTTTTTCTTCTATATTACACAAAAAAGAACCCCTTTCTCTTTTGCAAGTACATTTTGAAATCGCTCGACATTTTGATAATTCACGTGTAGGTGTTGAAGTTACATTAAATCCACACGATTCAAACTATTCATAAAGTATCATCACATCTTCTGCTGGAAACGCTCTGCTTGTTCCAAGGCAGATAAGGTCTTTCCCTATAGGGCCTGCAAACATAAACAAATCAAATAATGCAACAGACAAAGACAGCATTAAAGTCTAAGAAACAGATTAGAAGATCTAGCCATTTAGCTTATCGGGGAAAGAATTAAGGCATGAAAAACAAATATGTATGAGGAACTAACCAAATCAGTATTGCAACCAGTGGCAGGGAAAATTTGAGAAGGCAACCCAGTTACGGCAATTAAAGAGTTCTAGAAAACAAAGCACTTTGTCAGCAAAATCTAAGACTGAAGTCAGTAATATTTGGAGGTAATTGACCCAAAAATAAAAACAATCTAGTACTATATGGGGTTTACATGTCAGATGTAGCAACAATGAAAATACACAGAAGATGGAGAAGTCAAGCATGATATATCACATTTACCTTGGATTTTTCATATGTAGCAACAAGAAGACAATAGAGATGAATATGGAAGTCGAACCAACAAAAGTATAGGCAAGCCCAAGGAAGTCATTCTTTCCTCCTAACCAGCTTGATGTTGAAAGGACAATCTTCTTTTTCCCACCAAAACTGTAAGTATTGTAGTTGTTCGTTAGATTGACTACTAGAACATCATCTGCATCCAAATCCTCTTCAATTCTACCATACAGCTTCCGGAAACTGGGGAGCGCAGCTGTCCGCATCCATACAATAAGATCTTCTTGATCGCTTAGCTAATTAAATAAAGAAAAATTACAGTTCATGAAAACTCCAGAAATATTGTACTTTCATAAGAACTTAGTTTTACTCCAAGGAAATTATAGAAAATTTGTAGCGGTAGACAAGGGAGGTTTTTTATTTTTATTTTAACAGCATCCTTTGCAAATGGCCCAGTTGGCCAGGTGAGACCCACCAGGAAGTAGAGCCTGATAAAAACTTTAGATATATTTCTAAAAACATATGCATATATATCACATATTATGTTGGTATAGGCACTGATTTTTGGGACTGGAAACATGGTATAACTTCTTTGACTTTGGTTATAGACGCAAAAATGGAGGCATTCTAATGTGTTTTGATATGCAACCATTTATTATCATTTTAATATCTCAAGTAAATAACGAAAAATGAAAGGTATATTTTTGACTAGACAGTACAAATCTTGGGCGACAACTTCAGGTGGAGTACTTGCATAAAGGTACCATGAACTATAAATGGTGGCATCATATCCAAAGGTGTAGTTGCACAGAGAGCAAATTAATAGATTGTTATACAGCTCTAATACTTACAGGAATTCTTGGATCTAGCTTTCCACCACCGATCAAGGTCCCGTTCTGGAAATTAAAGGGATATACATGCTTCCCAAATTTGTGATCACGGTCACTCTTCCATGCTATGTTCTTCCTGTTGACTTTTAATTCAGTTCTTCCACGAATAAAAGTATAGGTATCATTAAACAAACTCCACGCTATCAAGCCACAAGGAACAGTTGGAAGACCATTCTTGGACTCCTCAGGTTTACAGGAGCTTGTGTCATTGAAACCCAATCCATGTAAAAGCTGCTGATCACTTCTACTTTTGACATACCTGAAAAATTGGGAATCAGCTTAGTAAAACTGTAAGGCTGGAGATCAAAACAAGTAACATCAAAGTTAACTTTTCTTGATTAATAGAATAAGGAACAATACTTGGTAAACATTTGGATTTACAGAATTTTCATGACAAACAAAAATAAAAAGAAAAAAGAAGAGAAAGGATCTTCAGGTATAAATCTTGTTATTTCAAAATCTGCACAACAAAGACACTATTGACCTTCTCCAAGTTTCCCTTTGAAATTTTCACCAAAAAACAAGAAAAAGAAAACTGAGACAGGTATTAAAGAAAAGGAAATTTTTGAACAAAAAATTTCTCCAAAATAATTTCCATTGGATTAGCAAAATATTCAATCTTGTCAATTATACCTATAATACTAACGATCCATATAGATCAGTAAATTTGAACATATTATTACAACGGTTCAAGGAGAGTGTAAGGTTTTACACCTAAATTTCTTTTTCCCCCACTGTGATATATCTTCAGGAAAGATTTTTCATAACGGTAACGACGGAGCCAAAAGTATCTACAAAATAAAGATGTATGATGACTAAAGTATGAAGGCCAGGTAAACTACATATTATCCTGCAGTAGTTGTTTGAAAGAATTCAAAGCACTATAAGCTTATCATGAAGAATCTCATAGAAGAAGGCAACTGTTGGAAATATAGAAACCAAGTCATTTCAGAATAATGGAATAAAGAAAAACGTGAAGGAAAAAAAAGGCAGGAAGAAAGATAGATCAGAACAAGTGATGGATTCCTTGCTATGCCAAAAATAAAAACACAAGAGTTCTCACCGTCGGTGGTTTTGATAGTAGTTATCAAGCTGATAGTAGATATAAATTGGAGCTTTCATATGCTTGTAAACCTTCAAAAAGAGACGAATATGTAAAAAAATTGAAAAACAACATGATTGAATAAAAACAACACAGTCAAACCAATGCATGATAAGTTTCAAATAAAAAGTATTTAATAAAGAAATGTTCCTAAAGTGAATACATACACAGACCAATCTGTGGAAGCTTTTGGTTTATTGGAAACTACACAAACTACTGGAATCAGAGCCTCTGAATTTAGGAAAATATTTGGGAAGGCATGTGCCAAGACCTCAGGGAATAGCTTATAAAACTGTGCAATAATTCCAATTTATTATAGAAGAATTCAAAGTCAACACAATTGAATAAGTAGCCGTGGGTTTTGTAGCATATTAAGATTTAACCAATCTTAAAAGAAACTTGAATAATGAAACTACAACAGCTTAGCAGAAATGCATCAGTTTCTTAACATCATGGGATATTGGATAATAAACAAAAGAAAAAAAGTTTGTCCACTCACCGGGTAGCAAGCAATTATTGCATTAATTCTCTCCTTTCCTAGATTTGATTTCTTAAAAATGCCTACCACCAGCTCCTCATCTACGGTTCTACTACACAATGTTATTTTATGGCCTTGCCTCTTAAAACAACCCTAACAGATCAAGCTCCGTAGAATCAATTATTGACGATGATGATAAACATTATCTAGATTAATGGACAATATGTAGTTTCATATTCTGTGACAACCTTAAATGAAGCAGACAAGAAATCCAATCAACAAGTCGCAAGGAATGTCATAGTTAAAGGTCTAGACAAGAACAAAGAAAAGATTACCTTCAAGTACCGAGAACAGTTTTTGGAGATTAAGTTATCTTTGATGTAGGCCACCTTATTGCTCTTGTATGCCTCCGGGACACACTCTGTATCATATTGGTCCACAATTTCTACAACCTATGAATCCAATGTCAAACAAATGGTTACACACAGATTCATGTTCCACTATAAATACGGGTGCAGCTGAAAACAAGAACCAATGAACAACAGAGACAAGATATTACGTTCTGGGAGGCATGAAGTGTAATAAGCCCAACAGGTATGAAAATGGCACCAACCAATAAAAATGTAGTAATCACCTGCAGAGAAGATAGTCCATATCACAAAGCACATATACAAAGTGAATAACATACTACAGAAGAAGTTGCTTATGATATTTAATAACTCACCCATGCTGGTGTGAGGACAGGTTTACAAGCGGGGAGGCTCTGCTGTGCAAACTGATAGAAAGCTATAAAACCACCATAAACATAACCATTTTGTGTGAACAAGAATAAAGTGCAAAGTCTTCTTTCTTTTCAAATAAGACTCATGCTAAAAGCAAATTAAGAATTGGCGGATTGTATGGCTCCATGCCATTAACGTTGAACAATTGTTCCAAATGTCAAAAAGGTCAAAGAAGGCATGCATAGATAAAATTAGATGAGTCACGCATTTGCTTAAAGCATATGCATATGTGCAACCAGATTTTAAGGCCTTTTCAGGTTAGCCTCTTCCCAAAAGCCATGACAACAATTTGATCTTAAACTGCATTCTACTTTCTCCTTCCCTACTTTCAATGATCATGCCTTTTCAAGCTTTTGAGTTAATTTCTCCTTCTTCATGTGGAATTTGATAACATATTCTTAGATTTAACTCTTGTTGACAAAAGTACAAAGTCTTATCTTTTATGAACCTATTCCCTGGAAGAAAAAAAAATCATCTGAGGCATTAGCCTCCAGCTGAACTGCTAGATATAGTTGACAAAAGTACAATGTCTTATCTCTTAAGATATCACAAATCAATAAATCAATGTATTTGTGACTCGATTAGAGGGAACATGGTTAATGACCACTCACGCCAATTTTTTAACAATCTGTGCTACAGAACCACATGAAAAGAACCTAAATAAAGTTTCAGAGCAGCATCTAAGGCAACCAAGTCATGACTAGGAATGGGAAGGACCAGAAAAACATACCTCTCTGCCGCCTGGATTGTAGTGGAATTGATTGAGCACCCCTAGAAACTGTTGAGGCACTTCCATCCACTTCCATCAAATTCAATCTTCAACACTACACCTCCAACAACGCACTAACTTTAACCAGCACTATGTTCCAAGGATACACCACCAGAAGTGAAACCTTTATTTTGTTATATGTATATGTCCCCGTCGAGAGCGAGCCTCAACTTCCCATTGTATATATCAAATTAATCTTTTAATTAAGCAACTGAATTGCCAACCGCACTAACCAAAGCAATTAGTTAGCTAACCAATCTAAATAGCAGGATGAAGCTCAATTGCTTTAAGGGTTTTAGTTTTCCCCTGTTTCCTACATGAAGAAAAAATATTATGCATCAATTTCTGCTCTTTTATTTTCCAACATTTTCTCAGCAACCAAACACCCGATATGTTCAATCAAGAATCAAATTGGGAACATAAAATTAAAATGAAGCAGAAGAGATTGTTGCAGAAAAATGGTGGAATCTAAAGGAACATGGAAGAAGACGAAGAAAAGCAAATAATAATTGAGAGAAGGGAGATCTGGAATTACCTGTAGAATTTGAAGTGAAAAATTGAGTGTTGGGTTTACTGGGAATTGAGAGAAATACGAGGGAAGACGAAAGAGATTACTTGGCGCTGAGACAAGCTCAAATCTTTCATCGGTGTTGTCCAATATGCTTAGCTTTAGAGGACAGCAACTCCAGAAATAACGGAAAGTTCTGTTTAGCTCTCCCTCCTCTATTTCGACACTGAAATAAATTCTCTCTCTCTCTCTCTCTGTTTGGTTTACCCTTGAAAAAGTGATTTTTCTTGGTTTCAAAAGGAAAAAAAGTGTCTGGAAAAAAGAAAAAAAAAAGTGATTTTTCTATTCTACTATGCCAGCAATGATGCCTCCACTAAACAACTAAAGCCCCAATTTTTATGTGAACTCGTCACCAAGATGTTGATTGGGGTCACTTCTGCCTAACATGCTTCCCTCCCAACGGTCAAGACATGTTCTCCACAACCCCTTCCTTCTCAAATTTCTACACTTTCCCGCGACCCAAACAAGACCATTGAACACAATCTCTTCCCTCTTGAACCTCTGCAACGATCCCAAAAAACTCCAGCAAATCCACGCCAGGTTCGTCCTTTATGGTCTGCACCAAAACCCAACACTCTCATCCAAACTCATCGACTGCTATGCCAACCTTGGCGCCCTCAGTCTTTCCCAACAAGTCTTTAACTCTATCAGTGACCGAAGTTCCCTTCTGTATAATACAATCTTAAGAAAGTTGTCAGAGTTTGGTGAATTTGAGAGAACCCTTTTGGTTTACAATGAAATGGTCATGAAATCAATGTACCCAGAGGGAAATACTTACCCTTTTGTTTTGAAGTCATGTTCTTGCTGTTCAGATGCTAGAAATGGGGCAAAGATTCACGGGCATGTGGTGAAATTGGGTTTTGATTCATATGATCTGGTGGGTGCTGCTTTGGTTGATATGTATAGAAGCTATGGTAATTTTGAAAATGAGGGAAAGCAATGGAATTCTCTGACTTCTGAGGGTTCACAAAGCGGAAAAGCAATGGAGAAATTTGAACCTGATTCAGTTACTGTGATTAACTTGCTGAGGTCAAGCGTGGATTTGAACTCATTGCAGGTGGGAAAGGCTGTTCATTGTTTGGTTGTTGTGAGCAATTTGTGTGTGGATTTGTCTGTGAATACTGCATTGTTGTCTATGTATGCCAAGTTAGGTGATTTAGAATATGCCAAATTGGTATTTGAAGAAATGCCTGAGAAGGACTCTGTTGTTTGGAATATAATGATATCAGCTTATTCTCGAATTGGGTACCCTAAGGAATCACTGGAGCTACTAAGATGCATGGGAAGTTCTGGCATTAGAGCTGATTTATTTACTGCAATCCCAGCAATTTCTTCAATTACACAGTTAAGAGCTACTGATTGGGGCAAACAAATGCATGCTCATGTGATAAGAAATGGTTCAGATTATCAAGTGTCCGTTCATAATTCTCTGATTGACATGTACTGTGGATGTGATTGTCTGAATTCGGCTCGAAAGGTTTTTGATGTTGTGACAAACAAGACTGTTGTTTCATGGAGTGCAATGATTAAAGGATATGTCAATCATGATCAATCACTTGATGCTCTTTCTCTCTTCTCCAAGATGAAATCTGAGCGAATCAGTGTCGATTTCATTACAGTTATTAACATCTTGCCTGCTTGTGTGAATCTAGGGGCACTAGAGAACGTAAAATACCTTCATGGGTACTCGGTGAAACTTAGCCTCAACTCACTTTCATCTGTTAATACGGCATTTCTAGTCAGCTATGCAAAATGTGGATGCATAGAGATGGCCTGGAAGCTTTTTGATGAAGAGAATATCAATGATAAAGATCAAGTCACATGGAACTCTATGATTGGTGCGTATGCTAAGCATGGAGACTGGTGTCGATCTTTTGAGTTGTACAACCAAATGAAGGAACTGAGATTGAAACCAGATCAAGTAACCTTTCTTGGAGTACTGACAGCCTGCGTAAACGCAGGTCTTGTTCAAGAAGGGAAGGTGTGTTTCAAGGAGATGGTTGAAACATATAATTGTCGACCAAGCCAGGAACACTATGCTTGCATGGTGGATCTACTAGGGCGTGCTGGGCATGTCAATGAAGCCAGAGAACTTGTAAAATCTATGCCTTTCAAACCTGATGCTCGGGTTTGGGGCCCTTTGTTAAGTGCTTGTAAGTTGCATTCAGAGCCTGGGGTTGCAGAGTTTGCTGCTGAGAAGCTTATAACCATGGAACCGAAAAATGCTGGAAATTACATATTGCTTGCCAACATATATGCTGCAGCTGGAAAGTGGGATGGAGTTGCTAAGATGAGGAGTTTCCTCAGGGATAGAGGACTAAAGAAAACTCCCGGCTGTAGCTGGGTAGAGATAAATGGATGTCTACATGAGTTCCGAGTAGCGGATCGATCTAATCCAAGATCAGATGGTATATATGCCATATTAAGAAACCTGCAGTGGGAAATCAAGGATGCAAGAGACAGAGATGGAGTATAGAAATACTGTTTCATTTTTGACAATTTTATTCATTGAACATATTGATTTTTTTTTTATTTTTTTTGTGTAAATGGATTTCCAAGAGCCACATATTAGCCCTGAACCCAGAAGAGTAACAAAAGGTCAAAAGAGAAAAACCAGTTTATAGAGCATTTGATTAACGACTACCTAGGACTAAAAAACTTCACCCGGTATGAGAACTACGATTTTAGAGAGGAAAATAAAAGGAAAGCAAAAGATTACTCGGTGAAACTTAGCCTCAACTCACTTTCATCTGTTAATACGGCATTTCTAGTCAGCTATGCAAAATGTGGATGCATAGAGATGGCCTGGAAGCTTTTTGATGAAGAGAATATCAATGATAAAGATCAAGTCACATGGAACTCTATGATTGGTGCGTATGCTAAGCATGGAGACTGGTGTCGATCTTTTGAGTTGTACAACCAAATGAAGGAACTGAGATTGAAACCAGATCAAGTAACCTTTCTTGGAGTACTGACAGCCTGCGTAAACGCAGGTCTTGTTCAAGAAGGGAAGGTGTGTTTCAAGGAGATGGTTGAAACATATAATTGTCGACCAAGCCAGGAACACTATGCTTGCATGGTGGATCTACTAGGGCGTGCTGGGCATGTCAATGAAGCCAGAGAACTTGTAAAATCTATGCCTTTCAAACCTGATGCTCGGGTTTGGGGCCCTTTGTTAAGTGCTTGTAAGTTGCATTCAGAGCCTGGGGTTGCAGAGTTTGCTGCTGAGAAGCTTATAACCATGGAACCGAAAAATGCTGGAAATTACATATTGCTTGCCAACATATATGCTGCAGCTGGAAAGTGGGATGGAGTTGCTAAGATGAGGAGTTTCCTCAGGGATAGAGGACTAAAGAAAACTCCCGGCTGTAGCTGGGTAGAGATAAATGGATGTCTACATGAGTTCCGAGTAGCGGATCGATCTAATCCAAGATCAGATGGTATATATGCCATATTAAGAAACCTGCAGTGGGAAATCAAGGATGCAAGAGACAGAGATGGAGTATAGAAATACTGTTTCATTTTTGACAATTTTATTCATTGAACATATTGAAGTTTTTTTTTTTTCTGTGTAAATGGATTTCCAAGAGCCACATATTAGCCTTGAACCCAGAAGAGTACAAGAGTTAAGGTCAAAAGAGAAAAACCAGTTTATAGAGCATTTGATTAACGACTACCTAGGACTAAAAAACTTCACCCGGTATGAGAACTACGATTTTAGAGAGGAAAATAAAAGGAAAGCAAAAGACGCATTTGGGAAGGTATAGTAACGCATTAATGTGCTAATGTTTCGCTTTGCATGCAATTGCATCTTGAACAAATTGAAGTTTTAAGGAAGATCTACATTCACTTCCTTTATTCCATACAATTTACTCAAAAATATTAGATTATCTTTGGAAATGTGTGCGACTACATTTGAGCACATTGAAGTTTCGAAGGGAGATCTGCATTTGCTTTCATACAATTTACTCAAAACTCTGGATTACACAAGGGAATCTCTTTGCCAGAAAATTTGAAAAGAATCCAGAGATACAAAGAGGCCCAGAATTAACCAATACTTAACTAACATTGATACAAACAAGTTCTACGACAAAATTGATAAGTTGGAAGTTCCCTTTACTGTTTATCAGCAATTGAAGAATCTCTCAGGCACACACATATAAAGCCTTTACAAAGACTGTGAAGCCAATTTTTGTTGGGTCAGACATTTTGATTTGGTTATAACCTATACGCCTTCTGTTACTGCATCATGCTCCTCTTTGTTATCGCTTTTTCCAATCTGTGGCCGTTTGAAAGCTGTACAAGAAGGAAAAAGAAAACAATAAGACAACTAACGATCAGTTGACACAAGAATTACAGAACATTCCTATATTCATAATTGCATGTTCATATGGCAGCATCAGGACAGGTATATTGGAACATCAAGATAGGTACTACAGCTCACCAACACAATATAAAGCTGATCTTGAGATTGTACAAAAATAAGACCAATAGTTTCTTTTAGTTTTGAACTTTTAACATGCAAATCCAACAGGCCTAGTGTCATCATAATAGATTCCTATCAGAGTGTTAGAATTGGATATTCATATTTTACCTTTAGCATTTATCAGGTAAAGGGTTGGAGCACATACTAAGGCTAGGCTAAAGGCAACATGTATAGTAGGACCATATAGATGGAGTGTATATAAGAGTCAAATTTTGGCTATAGTCAGATCCTTCTTTATACCTTCAATCAACACACCAAGTCAACAACAAAAAGTCAAAGCCATTCATCCAGAAATTCCACTGGTTAAGTGTGTAGAATTCGTATGGCATAACATATTTACTGCCAAGTTATATGATAATCTTATCCTACAAGATTCATGCCAATACAAGCTTATAGCGACAACGACTAATGAAATGATGGGAGAAAAAGAAAACTCTAGAACAAGACTACTTACAATTCATTAAGGGGAAAACATGCTATCCAACAACAAAAAATCAAGCCATCACACACTGGTAAATCTTACATTTAAGAGATGATCCAGCCAGACAAGTAAGCCTTGATTTTGTATTAGCCTCGGCCAATGGATTTGGCTTCTCCTTAACAGCCATGCGAACATCCCAAAGGCGTATAACTCCATCTGATGAGGCAGATGCTACAAGATATGGGTCATCATCGGCTACAGCACCAGCTTTGCTTGTAAGCACAACAATTCCTTTCACACGAGCAGGGTGTGCATCCTCAATGCGATATGCAACCTTCCCACTGTTTGTGTCCCATGCTGTAATACAGCGGTCCTCACCACCAGTATATAAAACTCCGTTCTATCAAAAATTAAAATGTAATATTTAGGGAAACTTGAATAACCTTTCTAACAAACTGCTTTAGTATGAGACAAGAAAGATTGTGAATTGCATAGTCAGAAAGATTTTAGCAAAAAGAGAACTGTGAATTGCCAGTAGAGCTATCACAAAAAATGCAAATGGAGAAATGCCTTTTATCAATGGTTTAATATTCCCCCCAACACAAGTAACCTCAGATATATGGCAGACATATATAGCTTTGTGCAGTGTAAATAATTACAGATAGATGTAAAGAAGGCAATATTGGGATTCTTACACACAACTAAAGTAAATAAGTGTAAGACAATGTACTCACATGATGATGTGCAGACTGAAAAATGCAAAAAGGAGGCAAAAAGGAAAGAAAAAAGAAACCAATACAGAATGGCCAAGAAACTAACCTCGCCGGGCTCGACGCATAGAACTCGCTTTGAATTCTCCAACTCGCAAAGCAACCGAGCATCCTCAGCCTCATGAACCATAACCTTGTCTTCCATAGCCATATAGAACTTATCCCCAGAACCATCGTAGGTCACCAAGCTAGCCTCCTTCCCCAACCTGCAATAGAAGCTCCTCCTACCCCTCACCAAGTTGATCATCGACAAGCACTCGTCTTTTCCAACGGTCAGAGCCAACTTCCCAGAAGGGTGCAACGACACGTCGTTGATGGCCTTCCTGTGGGGCTTAAGGCTCTTGAGGAGGACAAAGGGGTCGGCCTCGTAGATGCAAAACGACCCGTCGGCGGCGGCGGAGACGAGGTTGAGAGGAAATGAGAGATGGGGAGGGGTGAAGAAGGAGAGGGAGGTGACGGTGGCGGAGTGGTCGTGGAGAGAGCCCAGGGAGGTGGCGGACGACATGTCGTAGAGGTGGATGGTGTCATCGGAGCCACCGGAGGCCGCGGCAGAGCCAGCGGTGGCAACTGTGGTGATGGAGGAGAGGTGGGAGGGGTAGGAGAAGAGTGGGGTTAGGGTTAGGGATTGAGAATCAGGGTTGGGTTTTAGGGATTTGAGCTTGAAGCCCCATATGAATTTCTCGTATGAGCCTGCTATTAGACTCATGGTGATGGTGGTGGCGTTGCGATTGCTTGCTGTGTCTGTGAGGGTTTTAGGCAAACAAGAAGGGTTTTTACATTGAACTATAATTTCCCTTTTTTCTTTTTTTTTTCTTTTAGTAACAATTGAATTATCAAATTTGTAAATGACCAAAAAGCCATTCTTTTGAATTTTTATTTTATTTTTTATAACTCATAATAAAGTCCAAGAATTGGTATGTCATGAACAAAATGTTATATGTGATACTCCAATTGTTATCATATTTAATACATGAAGACTATAATGAGGGATTATAGTAAGGTTGCCGACTCTTTTCGGATTGTTCTTGTCACTCAACATCGTCATGTGATAAAAACTACTCTACTGTAGTGGCATGTTTACTAATCCGCAATTGGATTATGAGGAATTGAATTGAGGATTAATTGAATTGAGGAGGAGTTGAATTGAGGAGAATTAGATTCTGGATTCCTAATGAAGTTGTTTACTAAACCATATGGATTGAGGGGAGTTAGATTCTGGATTCCTATTGAAATTGTTTACTAAATCATATGGAATTGGGTTATGAGTGGTACTAATTACTAAAATGTCCTCATTGTTAGGTTAAAGTAGATGGCAGATTTGGAATTTTGAAAATTGTGTGAGGATATAATGGGTAAAAAAGATGAATTCCTAATGGGTGAATTTTTCAGGAATTAGAATACCACATCCCACCAAAGAATTGAATTCATAATTTTGTGTGGGCCCCACTTACTTTTCAATTCCATGATGTGAAGTAAACGCAGGAATTCTCCATAAGTGGAATTCAATTTCTGATGAGAATTCTAATTCCTAATTAGTAAACATACCATAGGAGTGGAGTGGCCAACAGAGGGAGACCGGGCTAGGTTGGGAGTTGATTTTTTTTCCATTTTTTATTTCTATTTCAAATATTTAGTTCATTATTTAAGATAAAAATAATTTAAAGGAACTATAATCTGAAAAAGATTGTGGGTGTCCAGAGATGTTGTACAATCTTCAATAATTGGGACATGCCTAGGCAAATGGGTTGCTCAAACACAGTCAACCGAAACTAGCAAAAAGCCCAAAGGACACAGAGCCTAAACGAAAACCAGAGCACGACTAAAGCTGAGCACAGGCCCAACCAAACACAATTACATCGACTTCAGCGGGAAGAAGGAAGGCAAGAGGAAAGCGTAAACCGTAACACATGTACAGGAAAATATACAAAATTCCCCAAAACACTTGTTCATGGTGTGAAGTGGTAGAGGGTGGTTCCTTTGCCGTACAATGTTGTCGAGTTGTTCCTAAGTCACAGAAGTTATATATACTCGGGTAAGAGCTAATCAAAACAATTGCTGATTAGTGATTTCCCCTCAGAGGATTCTGGGAGTTCCGAGAAACAACCTCAATGGATCAAGAAGAACAAGAACAACAAGAGGGAGAACAAGTTGAAGCTCCTCCTTCTGATGCGACCCCTCAGCAACCCTCCTCCTCTCAGGCCGACCCTCCTGCTCCCCCATTCGATCCCAGTCGAAGTACTTATCTCTATCTCTCTCTCGCTCTTGTATTTTTCTTGTTTGGGGTTTTTTTTTCTTTCTGAAATTGCAAGTGTGATTAGGTTTTTAAGATTCTTTTTATGTTTCAATTTGTATTTTTCCCATCTGGGTTTATTGAAAGATGTGGAATTTCATAATTGAAGTTGATTTTCTAAGGAAAGTGCTTGACTTTTTAATTGGGAAGTTGTCACATTGTTAAAATCTAAGGCTTAGATATTTGGTGTCTGTTAAATTTTCTCTCGGGCTCAAATTCTTGTTCCTTTTTTCTTGATACATCGGCTCAGTGATTGCAAATCCTGTGTAACTACATGCGGGTAAAAGTAATCTATTCTCTGTCGGAAGTAGGAAACAAAAGATAAATTCTTGTTTTCTTTTTCATATTTCACTTGAATTTATGGCTGATAACAATTGGATTTATTATAGTGAACCTCTGCCATGACTCTAACCTTTTGTCATATTCTTTTTTGAAGTGATTGGCATCATTAAAAGAACTTTGAGATGGTTTTTATATGAAGCACGGAACACGCATAAATGGTTTTGATATGTCTAATCACAGTTAGCGATTTCATTCCCCAATTTAAGTGGTATTTCTCTTGTGAAAACTTCAGATAATGTGTGTTTGTCTTGCCGTATATCGTGGCAGATTTGAGATTTATTGTTTGCTCCTTGTGGCACTGGATTTATTATAGTGAACCTCTGCCATGACTCTAACCTTTTGTCATATTCTTTTTTGAAGTGATTGGCATCATTAAAAGAAAGGCCTTGATAAAGGAGTTAGCTGCTGTATACCATGCGGAATGCCTTGCATACTGTCAAGAGCTCTTGGAACTTCAAAGAAAATGTGATGAGGTCAGATATGGTGCCCTCTTGTTTCTCATACTAATTTGATCAAGTGTTGTTTCCCATTCACATGACTTGGTGGATCTCTTAGGTCTTAGCGTTGATAAAGCACAAACGTTGTTATGCCCTTGAAAAAATTTATTAGTCTTTGTCAATCTTCTGGTTCATAATTTTTAAACAACTGTGAGCAGGAGTGACCTATATCTGAAGGTCCAGAATCTAAAAGGTTATTTGGCTTGAAAATTAGACTGGATGGTCATAAGGTCTGGTTCTGGCTGGTCATTCGCATTGTTACTTTTATTGTACTTATGAAAATAAAATGCCGTCATATGGTTTAGTTGGATAATATGGTTGAAAGGCACCCACTTTAGTTTTTCTTGTCAATTGAAAAAATTCATGGTTGTATGCCGTGAATCCGTGATTAAGCACTTGCACTGATGTATATGATGATTGCTGGTTTTAAGTTCTACAGAATGATGACATGCCTTTTGATTGGTTCTCACCATTGGTGGATTTTAAATATGCTTGCAGCCATTTATTGACTTGAAACCTCCAGAGGACTTGAAGAAGGAGACAATGCGACCCCCCAAGCGGCTAAAGAAAACCCGCTAGCTGCTGATACTGTTGCGTGCAGCTTACAGTCGAATCTGCACAGAAAACTCCCTTGGAGTGTACTTGCTATGTAGTTCCTGACTTTCAACTTGTTTGAGCACAACACAACATACCCACATTTTCCTCATCAATATGATATATTATGTAAATTTTGAATGATGCACAAAGTGCCCGGTTATTGCGGTTCACTATGGTTGCACAACTAGTAGTTTGTAAAAATTGGTAACCGAAAGGGAGCTTCCTTTGCCTAATTATGTAGCTTTGCTTCATTTGTGGGTTTACTAGCTGATCAGTGGTATTGACAATATGTTTAGCCCCTTCTATAATCGTATATCTTGAGAGTTATTGCCAAAGCACCTATCAGACCCCTAGCAAGTAGCATAAAATAGGCAGACAGATCCGTTGGGTAGCAAGAAATGTGTTTTAGTGATCTACCTTGTACGATCGTATTTAATCAGTGCAACCACCATGAATTCAGATTTAACAAAATACTATCTGTCAAAATGCATCCTATTTGTGCAAATTAGGTTGCATTGTTGGCTGAAGAAAGATAGGGCATCAATAGTGGTTTGCTTGCTGGATACAAAAAAGGCTGACAGATCATGTCATAGCAGATTGAACAATTTTAAACACGCATTACTTTACCCATGGAAACAAAATGAACTAAATTCAGCTGGCGCTACTGGCGCTATTGGCCCTTGATCATATAGAAAATCTTACATCACAAGGTTTTCAATGAATGATGCATAAAACAATTTCATTACCCTCACAAGAAAGAAGAGCCAAGTGAAACAAGAAAGATTGGATTGGACTTCGACAAACTCATTCTGCTACGAGTGAAGTCGAAGTCCTTGGCCACCAAATTTTACTATAAACTTTCAGCAAACCTTTTGTGAAACGACAAAAGTGTCGTGCTAATGTTATATGAAAAGTTCAAAATTCAATGAAGTACAAAATTTACAATGTTCATATCTGTTGAGGTTCTTGTACGCATCTCCGTATCTAGCCATCTACTTGTTACATGCCTCTGTCCTTCCATGGGTCAATCTTTTGAAAACCCAAACTGGGTTTCTTAAGTTATTTTTAGAAGTGTGCTGTTTTGAGGTATCACCGATTAGTTCTCCTTACCTGCAAGTAAGGTAATCAGCTTAATAACAGCAATAATCAAAGTGCTACAGCAGAAGAGAGATTAAACATATTAACAGCAAGTTGCATACCTAGGTTTTAAAGATGCCCACATCCTTTGTATGGGGCAACTAGGGGCGGTGGGTGGAGAAATCTGCCCTTCTACTAGCCTTTCAGTTGAGGGTCCCATTTCATTAACAAACTTGAGAGATTCTGACAGTCGATTGAGTAGGTTCATCAAGGCAATCACTTCATTCCGTTGCAAGTGCAGCTGAAGAGCAATACAATATAGACTTCAGTCGAAATAAAAGGTATGTCGGACACTCAATTACACCTACAAATGATGTAATCACAAATGACAAAGAACATATGGATGTGCATGCATGACTCACAGAGTAAAGATCAGACTGTCCATTCCAAAAAAAATAAAAAACTATTGATGGGAAGTTTGTACATGCTATGTCATTTAACAAAGTAGGAAATGATGTCGACATTGCTTGCAGAGAGTTCCATAATTAGTTTCATAATTAGAACCTTTTACCATATGCAATAACTAACAATTGTTCAAAATCTTTGTCAGAAAAATATTTAGATACATATGTATATATATATATTTGTTCAAAATCTTTGTCAAAATAGTTCAAAATTTTGGTATCTACTTTTGTCTGTTATTATCTTAAGTACATGTCTCTAAATCAAAGATAAAGAAGGGTCCATAAGCAATTTTTTGAGACCTGACTAAATAACATTGCAAAACGTGTTTCTTCACCTGAAAGCCATATAAAATTAGCTTTTAAAGAGATGCTTACAGTCTGATCAGTGTTTTGTTGACCATCAACAGAGAAGAGGATCTTAAGTGCTGTGCCAAGACCAAGGACCTGAAGCTTCCCCCAAAGTCGACATTTCTCACATCCGACACAATCCATCAGTGCACTACAATGACAATGCAAACAGTTAAATCATAGTCACATAAAAATGATACTTATGAACCATTATTAATATCAAGACACTAAGCCCAAAAAATAACCTTATGTTTCTAAACTGATTTTGTATTTTCTGCTTCAGTTCAGGTCCACGTTGTCCTTTCCACAACTTAGCTTCGTCAAATGGGACTGGGCATGCAGCTTGTAGATTGGGATTATAGAGTAGCTGTCGGACCAAGGATTGCGTCTTCAGATCCTCATTAAGATTACCAGTGTCATATTCAGCATGTTCCAAGTAATCTGCAGCCTAAATACATTTGAACAAGATTGATATTATTATCTCAGCAAGATAAACAATATCAAAAGTAACAATATACAAAAAGTGAAAACTACCGTTAGTATGCTCAGTATGCCTACAAGTAAGCAAAACATAATGCTTTGAAAAGAATTTAAGCTTATTAGACTCACCTTTGTCACAGCTCGGAGAACGAAGAGAAACGTGAAGTACAAGTTTCTGACACGATCTGGGTATCTTAGGACCCGATCATACATCAATGGGAGATTTGAACCCCACTGAAAAAGAAATTTTAGAAAGAAGAAAATAAAGTTAGATCTTAAAGTAAAGGCATGTAAATGATAAGTCTAGTGAAAGACTATGGTTGCCTTCATGATGCATCTAATAACGAAACAGCCAAGATTGCCAACTTTTTATTTAAAGAAATTCATTGCTGAGATAATGGCAGTGATGGTTAGCACTATAGACTTATTTAAATTCTGAACAGCTGACCTAATATAAAAGAAAGTCACATATGCTAACAAAGTTCCAGGCATCATAAAGAGGGATTTTCCATTGATATTTCTTATCAAGATCCACGGGTATAAAATATATGGGGCATGGGTACAGTATGAAATCTTTCAGAAATCAGGGAAACTGTCTGTTTTCTGTGTAAAATACAAGTCTTAAAGGAAATGATGAATCAGAACATGTACCATTTGTGTAGTTTCATCAAGGAGATAATCAGAAGCTATGTGGACTGAAATAGAGGAATGAAGACCAGATATCAACTTGTACAGAATTCTTTCTTCAGCGCATAACTCTTCAGATGGATCTGGAGAAGAAGTTGAAAGTGAACACAACATTCACATAATAAGGACTAGTAATTCAGGTGGAATCTTGTCTTAGATACAATGAAACATGCAGTGTAACTGCCCCAAAAATTTGTAAGAAGAAGTGTTTATACTGAAAGATTTCTCAAAGGAGGAATTGCTAACTTGTACTTTTCAAATTAAGCACACGAGTCAATTGAGGAAAATATGCAACCATTTTCACTAGCATTGGGGCACAGAGAGAGTAAAAGCTTACATTTGGGACAGTTCTCTGCGTAGACAGCATCCCATATCCTTCTAGCTGATGGACCAGTGTAGCCAGTATACCGTTCAGGATTCAGTTGAAGATTCACATATGTCATCTCAGCTGCAAATATAAATGTGCTACCAATCATTGCAAGTTCAATAAACTATTCTAATCATTCAAATCGTGAATCATCAAGTGTGTTCTTTACACCAAAGTAATTCAAATTGCATTATACAAACTAAAATTTTCAAAGAAAATACAACTGGCAGGAGGCTTTCAACTGCAAACATAACTTATCATATAAGAACCGGAACTGGTAAGCTGAGAAGGAAAAGCAAGGATACGTACCATTGTCTGTCTCATCGTCATTCGTCCAGGGATTGTCTGTTTCTGTCCAGCCTCTGAATGCCTTTTTATCCAGTGTACGGTCAACAGCTGCTTCAGGCTTTCCCTCTTGACAAACAAGATCATCCAATGGAAGGCCATGATGGGGCTTCTTGAATGATTCTGGGAACTCACTATCTGGGCATTCACATACACTACAATCTCGCAGACGGCACATACCATCATCAGGCCAGAAAGGGCAGTCGCACCATAACTTAACCTAAAACAAATTTTATCAACCATGCTTCAGAAAAATCAGATGCACTGCAGAACAACAGAGTAGTAAAATAATAATACATTTCAAGAATGACATACAGCAGCAAAGTTCACAACAGATTAAAACATCATTTATCAGTCTGATTCACATATGTCCCTAACTAATTAATCATAATAAAATTAGAATAGTATATTTCATTCTTTCTTAACAAGCATACAAATCTAGCCAACTTATAGAAATCATCTAACCTTGAAATACCGAAAGAACGGAGTTTTAACGAGCTCTTGGAGTGATGGATGCAAAACTTCCTTGTTAATATGGTCCACGGTCTCATAATCACAACAACAATCCTCCACTATCCCACTATACTTATGTGTTTCCTGCACAGTTTATGAGGGGGGAAATCAAGCAGCAGAAAAATCATAATCCCAATTACAAAAAGAAAAAAAAATTAAAAGTCTTTCTAATATCCAGTCCCATTTTACATAATTCAAACAATACATCATTTCCATTTCATGAATTAAGAAGCTTCGCATTCGTCTGAATAATGCAAAGCAGGATTTCAATTTAACACAATTCCAATTATCCCAAATTCAACAATGTGCCATCTTAGTCACAATGACCTGAAATTGAAAGTTCAAAAATTCCATACCATAAATAAACACACGATCAAGTTTCAAAATTTAAACCTCCCGTGTTCCACAGGACGTCATTTCTCTACTTTCTCGGTAACCAAACAGAACATCCAAGAAAGCGTACCTGAGTGCAGTTACAAGGCTTAATAGAGCGTCCGAAGAATGAGATTTTAGGAGCAGTTCTCGATGTCATGGCCACGGCAACAAAGACAGCGATCAGCGCTCCGACGGCCCAACCCCATCGCTTTGTTTTACCCTTTTGCCCAGCCATTACTGCAACAAATGGTACACAAAAACCTTAAAACTCTCGAAAACCCACCCTGCTTGGTTCCGGAGAAAATGAGAAGGAAAAGTCTGAGTCTTGTGATCTCTGTAACTTAGCTGGTAAGGAAATGTATTTATACAGGAGGTAAATTACAGTGGATTTAGTTTTAATTGGAAAGATCAAAGAGGTAATTAAAAGTTTTAGGCGTTGTTTTGTGGGGTTTGATGGTTTTTGCGTGAGAATTGGTTTGATTTGCAGCGTAACGATGGGCGAAAGGAAAATTCCGAGAAAATCAACGGCCGACTATGGGCAGGTGGGAAAAGTCATAGAAAATCCGCGGCATTGGTAAATGGGCTCAGTATTTTGGGCTCTATGAGATGGGCCGGTCAGCTGAAATTGAGCCCAATATTCGGCTGAGCTGGTTCAAAAGCCCAAATTTGCATATATGCCTGGTTACCATTTCAAGTTGGAGATGAGCTCTTTTTAGGTTTTTGTTGGTTCAGGGAAATTAGGGGAGGGAGGGAGGACTGAACTCTTCTTGTAAATGTGGAGTAAAGTGTTCTACCACTAGAGTTATGAGCGTTGATGTTCAGTTGGTTTAAGCCCACACAACCCACTCCAAATCCCACCGCCAGCCCGCCCCTCCAACTCTAGTCTTGAGCCGGTCCAGCCCATTCCATTTGAATATAAAAGATGTATGTGATGAGTAATGCTACACACACCAACTATTTTCTCAATTCTCTCACATAAATCAAGCCCTATATGGATAGTGTATGATCTTATCATCTCGTGAGTTTCACGTAATGTGAGAGAGACAATTGGGAAATTCGTTAGTTCCTCGAACATTTTCCTTTGAAACTTTAAGATGTATTGTTTTCCTTTCTGTTTTTACTTGAAATTAAACAAGAAAGTGCAATAGGGTGTTTCAATGGAGTAAATTAATGTTCTTGTAAATGTTTCAACTTTCAGAGAATGAAAATGAAAAGTACATTATCTGTGGATGAAAGTAGATAGTCATATAGTAGGTAGTGGCTAGTCAAAGAGTCAAATGAGAAGAAGATCAGTTCTGAAAGTGGTCAATCCCAATGGATATGAAGGTCAGGAAAACAAAAATGTTGGGGATTCTTGAGGCCTCACATGTACTCTGTTTCAGGAAATGGCAACACATCATGGTCAAAATTTTCATATCTTCTGATTTCCTTTCCACAACCAACCATTTTCATTTCACATAAAACAAAATTAAACAAAATAATTCAACAAAATAAAACAAAACATTGAAAGCTCGCTCTCTCTCTCTCTCTCTCTCTCTCTCTCTCTCATCACATTTGCGGCAGAGCCACTTTCTTTCTCTCTCTTACTCATATTGTCTGCTCTTTTCTGAGATAGAATAAACCATTATTAAACCATAGTAAAAGCACATGCTTTTTATTCAACCAGAAAAACAAAAACAAACAAAAAAACCTCTTATTTATTTATTTATTTAACTATTTACTTTTGGTAAATGAAAAAGAAAGTAATTGAAGAAAATAGAAAGAAAAAGAAAAAGCAGAGTTTGGGTCAAATGCTTATGATTTTCTTTCAAAGATACCGTTAGCAAATATGTAAGCCTGAGAGAGAACTGCAGGCAGTTGCAGTATTCGCATGGCATGCATGCCCTCTCCAGTATTTCAGTACGGCTAAGTCCGGTGGGTCCAGCTGACGTTTCACCCCCTTTGAATTTATTCCATATATCGTCGATCGATATACCATATTTCCGGCGACATGCAGTTCAGGTACTATCTTATATATGTACATGTTTTTCCTCTCCAGAACATAACAATATCATAAAATTAATTAAACACAAATATAAAAATAAAAAATTTGAGCGTATGTAACATCAATTTATTATAACAAGAAATTATAAGGAAAGAGGTTGTAGCTCGAATTCCTCGTTCTCTAATATGGCGTGTATTAAAAAACAAGAAATTAATATAGAGAGAAATATTATTGCAACATATATAATCTTGGTTGTAATACTAATTAACTGTCAGATATTGATATTAAGTTGCTCGGCTACATATAGTCTGTACAACCACCGTACTGCTCAGACTATATATGTAATAAGCCTAGAAATTAATAAAACCTAATAATTAAATACTTTTAAGATGATGACATGACGATCATGGCGGTGATGATGATGATGATGATGATGATGATGTTGATGATCAGAGCCAGAGAGCACCGGAGTCTTTGAGGAGTGGGACGAGAGTGCCATTGATGTGGCAACCCATGAGCCCTTGCACGCCACCTAAGAACTTCCCTCCCACGAACACGGCCGGTATCGGCCTCGTACAGGACGGCCTGTATGTCGGCCCCCGCCAAGTGCTCGTCAAGCTCGATGATGGAGGGGCCGACCCCAAGGCTGAAGAGGAGGCGTTTGGCCACGGTGCACATGCAGCAGCCGCTCATGCTGAACACCACCACCGCGTTGCACGCCCCCAGCTGCCTCACCATCTCGTAAGGGCTCATCATCGCCCCCATGATATTGTTCTCCGCCAGCTTCCCCGCTCCTGACTCAGCAGCCATGGTGATGGGGTCCATTGGAATCCCTGCTGATTTCTTTGCCACCTGCATTGCTGGTATGATATATTTTTTTTCTTTTCCTTGAGAGAGAAGGAAAAAGAGAGGGCCTGAGAAGCAAGAAAACAAAGTAAAAGGCAGAAACTTTAGAAATGTGTGGTAAGAAGTTAGAACAAAAAAGATGAGAAAGAGCTGTGTATTATTATGTTGCACCTTGGAAAACGAGGAAAAATAAGAGGGCGTAGTAATAATTTTAAGCTGTACTAATTTCTTCTTCTTCCTCTTCCTCTTCCTCTTCAAGTGTACGTTTCCACCTTAAAATTTAAAAGGTTTTAAGGGCAGGGCTGCAGCTAGCAGGGCACTTGATCCCAATAAAACACAGAGAGAGAGAGAGAGAGAGAGAGAGAGAGAGAGAGAGAGAGAGAGGGATTTGGGCAAAATGGAAGGGTGGGTTTTAAAGGGTTTTACATACCAATGCCATGCATGATTGATCATCCACCGTACACGCGTCCAGTCAAACAAAACCCACAAGGCGTATGCATTTCGATGATCATTTTCTTATAAACTGTATGTTACAGGGTGGGG